AGCATAAAGGAAACCAACTCAAAGAAGAAACTAATATTAATAATCAATATATAACGATAAAAATCATAATATAAAGATGTAAATAAATTTTCTGTTTGCATTTCATTTGACTTCAGAGTGATTCATTAAATAAAATCATATTCGTTACATGCGTAAAGTATAAAAATTATTTCACTTTGTTGATTTTGTTGATGTTTTGGTAATGTTGAAATACATATTAAAATAATTAAATGTTCAGCTACCAGTAAACTGCAAATTATCAAAAGAATTTAAATTCTTTAATAACAAAAATCTCCAAGAAAAAAACATATTTCATTCTCATGTAGAAATGATAAATATCAGGTCATCCCATAAGTTCTGTCCGAATTTTAACTTTTTGTTAAAATGAACGAAATTTAAACAGTATTTTATAATGTTTAATGGAGCTGAACATTATTTTTATGTTTAGATGCATTTAAACTGATCGAATTTTATTTCAGAGAACAATAAAATTAAATTTAGTTTGATTAAAACACTGCTAACATGGAAGTACCCAAGAATCATTTGAGGCACATAATGCTTTGAGTTCAAGAAAGGAAACTCAGCAGCCGAAGTGGCTAGAAATATTCACTCAGTTTATGGAGAGGAATGTGTGAATGAAAAAATTTGCAGAAGATGGTTTGCAAAATTCAGTGGAGATTTCACCCTTGAAGATGAAGATTGAACCGGACGTCCAGTTGAGTTTGATGAAAAGTTTCTTGAAGCAGCCTTTGAAGAAAATCCTGCTTTATCAGTTGAGGAATTGGCAGTGGTTCTCAGTTCAAACTATCGTCATCTTCAGCAACTTGGAAAATTTCCTAAACTTGGAAAATGGTTGCCTCATTAATTGTCTGAAAACAACCTCAAATCCCGAGATGACATCTGCTCTTCTCTCCTTTCTCGCCAACGTATTTCACCTTTTTTGGATAGACTTGTGACTGGCGACGAAAAATGGATCTTTTATCGAAATGTTAAGCGTCGTAGACAGTGGCTTGGTAAAGGGGAAGGACCCCAGCCTCAGCCGAGAAGGGAACTTCATGGGCAAAAGTTTCCTCTTTCAAATTGGTGGGATCACCAAGGAATAATCCACTTTGAGTTCTTACCACCTAATGCAACAATTAATGCTCAAATATACTGTCAGCAATTAGAGCTTTTGAACCAAGCTTCGAGGAAAAAAAGACCTGCTCTAGTGAATCGAAAAGAGGTGATGTTTCATCAGGACAATGCGCGACCCGCACAGCAAGAATCACGTCACAAAAGATCTAAGAACTTCGTTGGGAGAAAATTCCTCATCCACCTTATTCTCCCGATCTTGCTCCTTCAGACTACCATTTGTTTCGTAGCTTACAGAATCATTTGGAAGAAACAGCTTTTGTAACGCAGGAAGAGGTTAAAACTGACATTTGTGATTTCTTCGAATCAAAGCCAAAAGAATTTTACAGTAATGGAATTAGTAAGCTTGTTAATAGATGGAAGGAAGTCATAGATAATCAGGGAAAATACATTGTTGATTGAATCTGTCATTAAATATAACATTTGGTCACTTGTTTTCTTTATTCAAAATTCGGACAGAACTTATGGGATGACCTGCTAAATATTAGTCAGTCACTTTGTGATTTAACTTCTCGATTTATATTACGTAAAAGTAGTGAGTACGATTATCGGTAGGTTCTTCATTCTTTCGCCCTCGTGCCACATCTAAACTTCGTTTAGGACATCAATCGATAAAGTAAGACGGTCGACAATTACCAAAAATAAAGTATAAAAAAAGCGTTTGGTAAATTTATGACGGTAAAAAATGTTTTCGTATGACGCGTTTCGCCCTTTAGGACTTCATCAGACAAAATAAGGATTTCGTTGATGCGACCACATATGCGCACGGAGGTGAGGGGACGATTAGAATTGTTTTTTTTTGGGGGGTATGTGTTTTGGATATATAGGCAAGCCGATTTCTTTTTGTTTTTGCTTTTACCACTTTTGTTATTAAACATTGTGATGATAAAAGATCTGCCATGAAATATGAAATATGAAATATTGAAAGAACTTGGACGTAAATTTATTTTTGATAATCTAATGATTAAAATACTTTCAATAAATCTTCGTTCTAGTTTTCTTTTTTTAATTAGAGTAGCATTTTTATATCAAAATTATGTCCAGACTCTTTACCGTGAGCAACTAACACATTGAATATGTTTTGCAAAAGATCCCTTTTGTATTCATATAAAATTTAATTTAAGTTCCTTGAAGTTTCCCCTACATCTTCCTTGTGGCAATTATGAATTTTATTATTTTCAGATTGTCATAGATTTTTTAAACTGTTCCTGATACATATATATATATATATATATATATATATATATATATATATATAAAGTGTGAGCAAAACAACGAAATATCAGGTGAGCAATTTTATTTTACCAACATTATTTTTGCTATAATTAAAAGTGTCAGTAGCAAGCAAACAAGAAGTTGAGTTAACCGTTGACTGATGATTTCGCCCGCCATGTTGGGTCGATATCGCTTCAGTGTAACTTCAGCGAGATTTGTCGTTATTTCTGGCCAAAAGTCAGCAGAGATGTATCTAGACATTGTTACAAACTCTTCCTACAAAAATAACCCCTTTTTAGCGTAGATATCAATATTTCCGTGTTAAAATTACTTGAGAGGAACGACTTTAGCTAAATCGGGAAGAAAATTTCCGCAGCGTGGATAGATTAAAAAAAAATCGCCTTGGAAATTGGGACCAGTATCAAAAATACGTTTATTGAATCATATAACTTTGTTTCTACCTGTTCCTTCATCCATAACGATAATGTTGATGACAATATTAATCATTTCCTTATAAGGAAATACTCAGCATTCACTTACCGAGTAGCAAGTACTGTTTTCGGTTGAACTTTATAAAATATTTCTCTTAAAACATTTCCTTAGCAAAACAGGTTTCTCAAGTCCAGATGTTGTTATCTCTCTTTCCGGTACTGATGGGGGTTTCCTTCCTAAACTTTTGTTTGAAGTAACTTGGAATGTTAATATCGTAATTATATCAAAGCTTTTTATTCACTAGTGATCTTAGGAAACGGTTAAGATATTTCGGAACGGATTTGCCTCTATGCATGACATACTTATTACAGACTCTATTAAAGAACGTGACTCGAGTTTTCATGTTTGGGCTTCGTAGTAATTTGCGTTGTTGGGAAAAGATACCTCTTGCACAAGATATTCTATGTTCGATCTTTTTCTCGTATACTTAATTTGTTATATCTGATCCATACGCCGAGGTATTTGAAGTGTTTAGTATTTACTACTTCCACATCCTGAATTTTTATGATGGAATCGGGGTATGTGCTATCACTGCTCAAATAGTTGGTAAATGATTGATGATAGAAACAGAGAGACGAAAACTATAATTGCAGCCATCTGAATACGTGTCTCTCAAGATTAAACATACAGTTAATAAAACGGAACTAAAGTAAGTGAGGACATATACAGATCAACCCGTGAAAAGTTACTAAAATGAATAGTTATCGAACATCTTTCAGAGCAAGTTGAGTAAACTGGGTATTGTTTCGGCAGGCATTACTTTGATAGAAGAAAAAAAAATGGCGCACTTTTCGACAAGAGACCGAACAGTACAATGTTTAGGATGTATATGGACCTGTTCTAAGATGCATAAACACCAAAAAGTACCGACATCATAATTTCTCGGACTGTGTTACGTAAGCGTAAACACGTTTAACGATGTCGCTCTCCAGAATTGTGTCGGACAGGCAAATGATCATTACATGAATAAATAGTGTAATGGTTAGTAAGTTTGTTTCGTTAGATCTATTACGACTTGGTAGTGAGATCGATTCCTAGTGGGTGCCGCATATTTTCAGCGTTGTCCCACATCTAAGCTTCGCTAAGTACATCGCTACATGAATAAAGATTAAGCGACGTTACTTTTATATACCGTACCTATGAACTCTAATGGGTATATTCCAATCCACATAATTACGTAAGGAGAGGTAATATGCTGCCTAAGCTAGCAGCGTGAGTCATCAACATGGAAAGCTCTTGCCAGGTCGAACTCTCTGCCTTTGGGTAGAGAAGAAACCGGACGAGGTTATGCTGAAGAGCAAAAACTCGTCCGGAGAGGTAGACAGATACCAAATCCCAAGTATGCGGGGTCTACAGGCAATTTTTGCCCGAGCCCACGGGCTCAAATTTCCCCACATTAAATTTGGCCTTGTGCCGCATCCTACTTCGTGGCAGCTAAGTATAGTAATATGCTGTCTAAGTGGTTCACCACTAGCAGTTGTTTACCTACTTCACGCCGCTGGCGAGTATCGTATTTTGTTGATGTTGTAATGGTTAACATTTTATTTCCAACCTCCGTTTTGGTTATTCCTCATTCAGTAACCTTTCCTAGGTTACAACAGTCAGTGTTCTCCAAATTTACTATTGATTCTTTTTAGTACGGTTTATCAATCTTTTGCAAGTTAGTTAAAGCCAGATATTTTTTTTGTTTTTAGATTGTAAGAATTTTTAAGGATTATTGTGCGAGCCACGGTAGAGTAATGGATTGCAGCTCAGATTGAGGAACGAGAAAGCCGAGTTCGAATTCCAATGGAGTTCATTATATTCACTAAAGTGCGTGGGGAAAGGTATGAATCGAAAGCTTCTCACCCAGCTATGGGTCGATTGTTGGACAGACGGGCTTCTATATACTTGCGTCGCAACTGGTCTAGAAGGAAAAATCTGAATTCAAAATATATGTAGCCCTGGCAAAGTACACACTGTGCAGCTAGAAGACGATCGTGACTACAGTCGACTTCGTTTTAGTGATACAAGTCTTAATAATTAACCTATAGCAGGGGGAGAAAAGATTGATTTATACCTTTTCCAGGGTTTTTTTAGTGAATATAACGAACCCATCAGAAATTGGAACTCAGCTCTCGGATCAACAATTCCGGCGCCATTACCCATTACACACGCCCAAGCTCGCAGCACTTGATATTCCAAAACGGTTGCCCATCTACGTACTGACCAAGCTTGATGTTGCTTAACTCCGGTGATCATACAGGTACCGGTGTTTTAACGTGAGGTGGCTATAAATCCCAATTTAATATTAACTGACACATATTACTAGTAGTTATGGCGATACATTAGACATAATGTAGTTTGGTACCCACAAAAATTTACTTAGCACTCAACGTAATAGTACTTTAAGGAGATGGATTCCACATGAATCATTTTAACGTAATACAAGAAAAACGTCTTACAAGACCAATTTATCTAAATCAGGAGGGAATTTCTTTTTTTGAAATAACAACAGCTCTAACCAAAAGTTAAATCACGTATGTGACCAGTTGATCCTCTGAATGGATTACATTGTCATCAAATATCGACAGTCCGTCACGTGCAGATGAGGGATTATCAATTATAGAAATGGTGCCCCCTTTGAGCTCACACCATGACCATTAGATATCAATGGTTTGCCGAAAGTCTTGTCAGGTTTTCCATGCGTTGGCATCGAGCCGAACATTTAAAAACACAGTAAAGAAAGAGAGAGGAAGGGCGGGAGAAAAAGAGAGAGAGAGAGAGAGATGCCATTTCTAGCATAGCCGAGAAACCAGTCTTCAATAAAGAAAGAGTAAATTAAACTGATGTATATTGCTTCTCCATGCTAGAGAAAGATGAGATTCGGCAGTTAGAGGTGGATGTCCAGAAATAGCACAAACACTTACAAAACTGAAATGAAAGACGACTTAGCATTAAAGACATCTACATGGCGTGTTCAAAAGACATTTAGATAGAATAGTCAGGGAAAAATCGTAAAATATATGCCTTTACGTATAACTACGTACAAGTTCATAGGATGCGAAACTATGAATATAAAAGGATCTTAAATGATCCAACATCACAATGTATCTTAGAATAATTTCTCCACTAATTCGCGCATATATATATATATATATATATATATATATATATATATATATATATAAGATATCGCTCATTGAGTACTGCGGTTAATAAAATAGTGCTCGATGCAATATAACACATCTGTTAAGTAAATATTAAAAAACATACATATTATTCCACACCGGTAGTGCGACTCGGAGTTTCATGCCAACGCAATATCCATGTTCTGTATATATATATATATATATATATATATATATATATATATATATATATATATATATATAAACTGAGCTCCTATTGAAATACGAGCATCCACTGAATTAACGTTTACGTAACAAAAATCTGTCGGATTCATAATAAAATATATATATATATATATATATATATATATATATATATATATATATATATATATATATATGTATGTGTGTGTGCGTGTTATCACTTTAAACAATACTTTAGTGGATATTTGAGTAGAGGCTTTGTTTATTCATGAAAAAGTATATTTATTTATTTTCTTTCACAGCCCTGAGTATATAAAGAAATCGTATATAAACATATATATATATATATATATATATATATATATATATATATATATATATATATATATATATGTGTGTGTGTGTGTGTGTGTGTGTGTGTGTGTGTGTGTGTGTGTGTGTGTGTGTGTTTCCTTTGTATTCCATTGTCGTGATGTAAGTTCAACTCGAGCAACATCTTCCAGGAACCATTGCTTTGTGTAACTAATTACCAAGAGGATGCTTCTACGTTCAATAAAATCTTAACCTGTCCTAGTCTATGGTGAGCCGTTATCTTCGCCACATATCCGCATAAACTGTGCACCTTGCTCTGTAAACATCTAACTCGAGTGGCTCTCGGGCCTTGTACAAAATGAAATTACAATGCAATATATATATATATATTAATTGAGATTAAATATAGATCAAATATGGATTGGAATCCGATAGAATCTTACTTATTATAAAACCCAGGTTGTGTGTGTATGTGTGTGTGTGTGTGTGTGTGTGTGTGTGTGTGTGTGTACGTTTAGATATTGGATCGGATTTCCTACATTTTTCAACCGATTTCAACAAAACTTCACAGGACTATGTAAAATTACCTTGTGGTGGTTCTGACAGTGCCAAAAATTGGAAAAACACAATTGTTTTTGCACGAAATCAATTTGAAAACACAATTAAGAGGCATCGCGAGAATGATAGGGGGACAACTCATATCGAGTTATACTTATTATAAAAAGCAGGTTGCTTGTGTGTGTGTGTTCATTTATATATGGGATCGGATTTCCTACATTTTTTAACTGATTTCAACAAAACTTCACTTTTGTTTTTTTTTGGCAGGTAGTGTTTCTTATTGTCTTGCACACTTTTTTTTATTTTTACATTCAGAATGCTTTAAAAATTCCATTTACAAGACAATTGTTTAGAATAAAATTCTATTCAATCGGTAGACTCATCAAAACGATTGAAAACAATGTTTTTGGTTTGAGTTTGGGTTTCACCAATTCGTAAAAAAAAATACAAAACAAAAAAAAATAATAAAGACATGCGTGTCCGTCAACCTTAAACAATAATCTTTGTCAATTTTATTTTTCAGTCTTTATGATGGTCGATACTTGATCTATCTCTTACTGTTACATCCCCGGGCAATGCCGGGTTCTACTGCTAGTGATAGGATAAGTAGCATCATGTAATAGATAGTGGCTCGGATTCCAATTTCTATTGGTTTCGTTATATCCACTTCCGCTCAAATGCCCTTGGGAAAACAATGAATTCACGACTTTACCCTATTTATGGATTACTTAGTAAGGCTTGTATCAATGAAACCATTATTATCACCAAAGTAATTCTTACCATATAAAAATACTTTTGGCTTTAAATAACCTGCGAAGGATTTACAAAAATTACAATCAATCAGTCAAAAACACAAATAAACACATGCATGCTATTTTCAAATATACACAAGATGGTCTTCTAGCAACATAAAAAGAGATATATCTCTTCTGCTTTTATTTGGCGTGAAGAGATAACTCCTTAGCAATTATCTGTAAAACAAGTGTGCTAACAATTGAACCAAAACCATTCTACTCACAAGAATTTTTAATCATTAGGTTTTATATTTAAAACTTAATAAATTTCTAAACTTGTTTTACACGTGGTTTCAAATACAGCCAACGAAGAAGAAAATTAATCATTGATGCTTTTAAGCGATTCTGAAACCTCTTTCTCACTGACACAACGTCGCAAGCTTATTGCTACTCTGTCAGTATTTCTATGTTCAGATGAGCTTCATTCTTTAGTTCTAACATTTCCCTAACCCACTTTTATGTTAAATAAACTCTTGTCATTTAAAAATATTTTCTGGCTTTAAATAACTTTCAAAGGGTTAATAATAAACGAATAAGTCAATCAATAATTCTCACTCTAGGGAAAGGAATAACAGAAGCACTAAAGTTTGCCTCAGTCCTGGGTATGACGATAAACTACATCCGCATCCTGGGGATGATTATAAACTACATCCGCGTCCAGGGTAAGACGATAAACTACGTCCAACAACAAGGCCTCTGATCAGAAGGCTTTGAGGAGTGTGGAACCACCTCTTAATTGCTGGTGTTCCCAGGTTCACCCTCACGCAGGGTAGTAGCACCTGTTAGGGTCCCAGCTATGGGCAAATAGTTAATCCTGAAACTGAGGTAAAAATCTATATGAAAGTGTAAAAATAGGTTTTAATACCAGAAAATCTTTGTAAGAAACTTATTACTAGGAATAAATTTTGGAAGTAAATAACTATTACCAGCAATACATTTTTTAAAATAATATTACCAGCAATATATTTTTTGAGGAAAAAATATTACCAGAAAGATTTTTGACAAAACAAAATATTACCAGGAAAAAAAGGTTTTCGGTATTAAATAACCCATTGAGGTTGATATGTCGTAAAGCAAAACAAAGCAAACCAAAAGCTTGTCTATTTGAATCGGGTTAAGACAAGAAGTAAAATTATTCAGATAATACTGTATCATGGACGCGCTGGATGGCGATCAAGATGACATCTTTTTTACGAAAAATATATCTTTGCGGACATAATATTGACGGCAGTGTTCACTCATTCCAAAGACCAAGGGACAATCAAGAAAGAGGGTTTCTACATGGAGTTGTAGAATATAGACAGAGTTCAAAATCAATTTCTAGGTCTTGTAAGGAATGGTAATTTTCCATTTTACTACTTCTTTTCCACAGGCGCAATGTCGCAAGACAATTTTTTGTCAATGCAAATCTTCAGTTCCATCGGTTCAGATGAGGAATCACCATGCTATATCCAAGGAGTCAAATCACCCACGTTGCCTCCGTATTCCAAGTGTAAGGAGTAGGTTTTACTCCGACAGCTTTTCTCCAAATAACTTCTACTTTTAAGAGACAAACTCCCGGGTGATGGTTTCCTCATAGACTACAATCTCAATCGCTACAAGTCAAGGGCTAATCTTTATCTATCCTCTTCTTAATTTTCATATCATTCTCTTCTTTATAACTGCTCTTATATTCATATTACACGCCTTGTGCAGTAACCCTCAACCTACGGCTTACGGTCAGTAACCCTCAACCTACGGCTTACGGTCAAATCACGCTGAAACACCGGTTCTCGTACGATCACCGAAGTTAAGCAGCGTAGAGCCAGGTCAGTACTTAGATGGGGGACCGCTTGGGAACACCTGGTACTGTAAGCCCCCAAAGTCCAACCCTTACCTCACAGTCGGTGGGTGGGTGTAAACGGTAGTGTCAGAGCTATGCCGCCCGGAACTTCGTTCCTGGTAGGGCCACCCAAGGCGGACAGGTCTGACACACACGCCGGCTAAACAAGGGCTCTGGTGAAAATCCAAGGAGCGTCTGCATCGGTAACCGGCGGCTTCTGGTCGTTCCTGTCTCTGCGTCTGTAGGAATCCCGCGGCAAGCAAGAACGTTATCCGAGTAGGCCTGGGTACCCTACTTCTGTAATTTATCCCAAGAATCTTCTTCTCATAATAGAAAGAAGCCGGCTCAATCCGCCCAGGGTGAATGCCGCATCAGTACAGTAGTACTAACCCTCAACCTAGCCTGGCTCTTGGGCCTTGTAATGGATGAACTTTATTACAATGATGTAGTAGATTTGATTGC